CCTTTTGGGGATGCAACTGGCGCGGTTTCTTCTCAAAAATGAAGGGGAGGGCTCCGTCTGGCATCGAAGGGCTGGGAGCCGTGCGCGGAGCTGTGCTGCCGATTTGGGCGGCCTGAAATCGCACCCTGCGGTGCGAGATGGGGAGGGAATCGGTCGCTCTGCAGGGGAGGCATCCTAGGGGATGGATGGATGGATGGATGCTCGGAGGGGTGAAGCGCAGCCCCCCTTCCCATTCCCAGTCGGGTGGGCTTGCTTTGCTTGGCGAGGCAGATGAAAAGGTTTGCTGCAGCGTTTAGGTGGTGCAGAGGGACAGCGGCCTGAATCTGGTGTGTGTCGCAGTGTCTGGTGAAGGATAAGCGATACCTGTATGTGTATTTATGGAGAACTAGCAAGGACGCGGGGTGCGGACGCTGGAGCGAAGCCCTGCAGATGGGCGCCCTGGCTCCCACCGCTTGAGGAGCAATGGCTGGGAACCTGTCACGCTGTGCGGCCGAGAGTGGGTTGTGCCACCGGGAGAGGCAGTGCCTGGAGATGAAGGGCTCAGCTGCCCCTTGCCTGGGCTGCCCGGGTTGGAGGCAGGAGCTGGTTCCCCAAGGGAAGAAATCCCTGCCTTTGCTTTTGTTCCCCAAAGCCTCCATCCCTTGGGAAGGATGTGGAGCCATGCGGTGCCAAGCTGCAGCGTTTGCTCACACGTGTTCCTGATGCCTCTTTCTTTTGTTTCTCCTGCTGCCTCAGTCGGTCGCTGGAGGTGTCTACTCTCCTCCCCAGCTCCCGCTGCTGCTTCTCCAGTTCCTTCATGTTTGTTATCCCTTCCTGTCTTCCCCAGCAAGTTTAGGTGCCTGCCGGAGCACAGCGTGCCTTAGTTCATGGAGCATGTTTGGTTTTGTAGGGTTAGGGTTTATTGATTGCTCCTGGAAGCGGCTGAGATTGTGCCATCTTCTCACAGAGCCACTGCCTTTTGGCCAACCGCCTCCCTAAAGTTGCTGGTCTTGCACCAACACCTATAATTTACTTCTGCAAAGGGCTGTCCCTCCCCGCTGCCGGTTTTTGTGCTAGCAGAGCACTTTTCACACCCTGCTGCTGAGCATCCCCCCCCTACAAAGGCCCAAATTTCACTAGAGCACCCATCCTCCTTGTTTCCTCTTGGGGAAATCCCCTGCAGAGCTGCCTCTGCACTGCCTTCGGTGCATTTAGGTCTTCTGCAAATTGTGCATAAGAAATTAAAGAGAGGGCGAGACAAAAGTCGTTAAAGCCGTTAGCTGGGTGCAATTTGAACTATAACCGCCCTTTTGTTTTGGTTCCTCGAGTGAAGAGCTCTAAATGGCAGTGGGATGCTCAGTGTTTGGCACCCAGGCCCTGCAGGACTTTAGCTTCCAGCTGGAACTGAGCGGTTTCTGTTATCTGCATGTGCAGTGTGAAAGTGAATCTGCCTCTCCTTTTTCCCGAGTGCGTTTAGGAAACTTTGGTCTAGAGATAGGTGAGCTGGGAGAAGTTGTGTAAACAAGGTCTAGTTTGCCTGAGGTTTCATTTCCCACACAGAGAGAAGTGTTCCAGGTGCACAACTCCACATAGGAAAGACTTCCTCACCACTTGTATTGTTGGTTTAAAGATTGAGCCATGTCTGCCCCTTTCCACGCACCACGGTGCCTTGTTGCCTCCAAAGCCTTGGTTAGGGACTCCAGGAGAGCTCCAAACATGATTCCAGAGCTCCAGCTTTCAGTGCCAGAGCTGCGTGTGACTTCCAGACACATTGAGAGCTGTTGTGGTGCTGTGAGGGTAACCGGTAATCCTGGCTTGTGGGCAGAGTCCAGCTGGAAATACAGATGTCCTCTTACAGTTTTGGTTTATGGTTAGTTGTAGTTGGGGTTCCCAGCTCTTCTAATCCCACGCTGTGGTCTTCGAAGCCCTTTCCTCATCCTTCCTTCTCATACATGAAATTCTCTGCTGTTGTTTTCAGCTTCGAGATCTCGCTTCTGTTGGTGAGTGATATGTAGAACACTTTCCTAGGTCGTTAATTCTGTATCATCAGTAATAATAACTACACAGCACTGAGTATTATTAGTACAGCAGTTGTTTGTGTGTTACTTGGTGCCAAACCACGGCACAGTAGTTTTGTCTGATGGGTAACAGGAGTGATGCCAGGTTGGTACTTAATGTGTCTGAGGCAAGAGCAAGTGGAGCACTTCCAGGAGGAGGCTGGTGCGAGGCAGGGTGCTGAGGACCTGTGCTTTGGGGAGGTTTTGGGTGATGCTTCTGTCCTGATACAGGTCTCTGCTGGGCTCTGGTTTTTCCCTGAAATTTTGCTTCTGTCTCCTGCATCTCCCTCAGGTATTTTTCCAGGCCACAGTCCTTGGAGCTGCTGTTCCTGTCTTGTGCTTGGTGACAGGCTGCAGGGTATGGAGCCTAACACCTTGCTTGAGAAGTGGCTCTCAAAGGGATTGTGTGATGCACTCAGAGGTCCCGCAGAGCGTGGCCAGCAGCCTCAGAGGAGGTGGTAGCAGCTGAGCCGCGTGCTGTGACTCGTGTTATTTTTCCCACAACCTCTGTTTTGCTTTGCTCGTGCCTGCAGATGGTCTGATTCTCATAGAGAAGAAACCTATCCTTGTCTGCTCAGGGTTGATATGGCCATGCTGAGGCTATGACCTTTCTGTTTTGAGTAAAACAGATGGACTAAGCAGCAGGGTGATGAACTGGTTAAGCTAGGTAAATGCTTCTTCCACGTCTATCCCATCTGGGATCTCTCCAGCAGCTTGTCTGTCATACTAGATTTTCTTCTTAGATTTTGTCCTAAATAGTATCCATCTCTTAATTAAAATAAATATTTGTATAAAAATCACTTTACTCGGTCCTTTTTATCTTGTTTTGTTTTCCCCTCCTCAATCCTGTCTGAGTTGCTTCATTTTCACATAATGTGCTTTCTTCTAGTCACCCATGTTTGATGGCAAAGTCCCTCACTGGCACCACTACAGCTGCTTCTGGAAGCGGGCTCGAATCGTGTCTCATGCAGACATCGATGGCTTCCCAGAGCTCCGGTGGGAAGATCAGGAGAAAATCAAGAAAGCCATTGAGACTGGAGGCCCTGGAGGAGGTAAGTAGAGGTCTCCTGGTGTTCGGAGATTCAGCTGGAACCATGTTCCCTCTTCTCAAGCTGTTACTGTGGTTATTTGATTGCTGTGTCTCTTCAGCAAGTGATGTTGGAAGAATTGTGGTGGTGTCTCCACACTCAGGGCTAGGACACTGTTAGCGTGATCCAGCATGTTGAATCAGTGAGGGGAAAAGCCAAGTCAGCTGGCAGGTGTATTGCCAAATATTTCTTGTCATCATGATTGGTGTATTTTGTTCTCAGCTCTTTAATATTAATAAATGCTATTGTAAGTGTGTTGTTTTAATGGTACCTTCACTGCAGTGTATGGTTCCAGTGGCACTTTGAATTTGTTACACCCAGATGTGGTGAGTCAGGGGAGCAAGTGAGAAGGTCTAAGTACAGACCAGGCTAAATTCACCCTGTCTCAGTTTTAGATTGATGTCTGCCTATTGAAATATAGAAATGCAGAAGGAAACTGGCTGTTGGGAAGAGGAGTTCTGATTTGAAGCAGAGCTATTTGTGACTCCCATTACAGTCAGTTCCTCAATAAGATCTCATTTTGCACTACTTTCAGGAAAGAAGTAAAACCAGACAGCTCTGTGCACCCTTGGAAGTCTTTTAAAATCATTAAATAAGCAATCTTGTACAGTTGCTACTTGGTTGTTTTAAAGAACTCTTTCTATTTTAAAAGCACTTTTGAACATGGAATGCTTACCTTGCTCTTTATTAACATTCTTGACAGATGAGTTGAGGGAACATAGGTTTATTAATCCAGACTGCAAACAATCTGGGACACAGCATAAGAAAATAAGGGAATGTCTTTTAAAGCTGAACTCTGTTTGCTTTGTTCTCCAGGAAAAGGAGGGGAACAGGAAGGAGGTGGCAAGGCTGACAAGAGCCTAAATGACTTTGCTGCAGAATATGCTAAGTCGAACAGAAGTACTTGCAAAGGCTGTGAACAGAAAATAGAAAAGGTAAAAAGCTTTTCTTAGTTCTCCATCTCTTGTGTTTTCTCCCACCATTTCCAGTTCAAAGAGTGACTTTTGTAATTGCTTCCTGTCTGTCCTGCATATGGAAAGCACTTGCAGAGCTGCATTTCTGTGCCCGAGGAGCAGCTGCCTCCTGGACAGCTGACAGTAAAGGCATCCCTCAGGCACTGTAGCCTGGCTTCAAACCTGCTGATGCTTCCTTTCACTTGGGTCTTAGAGCACATGGGAACACCGCTCGCCAGCATTTCTGTGTCAGGAGAGCTGCCACTAACTGCAGCTTTTCCTGCTTGTTGCAGCACTGCAAAGGTGTGGCCTCTTCCTCCTCCTCAGCCAGACCAGCTCTGTTTGTGTGCAGTGTATCCATACTAACTCCAAAAAAGTAGACAAAAACAGCGATGCAAACCCAGTGAAGTAGTTGGTACATGTCTTGGTGCTCTGCATTTAAAGACAGTTGGCAAAATAAAGTTGTGATCCTCTGAATAGGCCTGCCAGTGCTGGTATGCTTGTATCTGCAGAAACATTGCTGACTTGTGTAGACGTTTCCTTGTTGGAGCATGAAGCATTGCAGTCTAAAAGCACCCAATACAACTACTCCTGGGGCATCCGAAAAGTAATTTGCAGCAAGATGGAGCGAGATCATATTAGTACTGGTGCTTGAGAGGTAGGGACATAAAGTTAATTTTTCAGAGATGCCTGCATGCGGTTTGGTGAGGTGAGTTTTGCTTGGTCAATCTGACTGGGAGTTGGAGTAAAGGGTACAGGGTTACCCTTTCTGAGTGCTTTTTGAGCACAAAACTGTCTAAAAAGCTGTGTTCAACCTACAAAGAGTATTGAAGCAAGCAGAGGAACTGTAGTGAAAGGGCTTGAACAAAAGTTGCAGGCCTTGATAGAGGAGCTGTTGCTATTTTACAGGTGTTCAGGAAGCATCATGTTGGTAACTTCTTAACAGCCAGCTCCTTCCACAATGGCCTAACTGTTGCTCTTGTGTTGCTTTAACCCCCTTCAGGGCCAGATCCGGATTTCCAAGAAGATGGTGCATCCCGAAAAGCCGCAGTTGGGAATGATCGATAACTGGTACCACCCGGACTGCTTTGTGAGCCGCCGAGCCGAGCTGGGCTTCCTCCCCGTGTATGGGGCCACCCAGCTCCTGGGCTTCAGCATCTTGAAAGCTGAAGATAAAGAAACTCTGAAGAAGCAGCTCCCAGCTACCAAGAGTGACGGGTATGTGGGCAGTGTAAGGAATTGTGTTGTGCAGAGGAGCCATTGATTGCCTTCAAATACATCCACGATAAATGTTTTGTGACACGATTGGCTCTGTTAGAATACTGGTCGCAGGAGGATTTGGTCCTTCTGTGACCTTAGGCAGATGACAACAGACCAATTCCCTATTCCTGGGAGCATGCAGTCCTCTTGCCCCCTGTGATTGCCTTGAGAAAATGCACAGACCAGCAGCTGTGACTTGGGAGGGCTGATGTAGGGCTTTCAACCATAAAATAATGCATGCTTAATACAAATGGGTACTGGGCTCTCTGCCTCCTTGTGTGATGCTATTATCATTGATGGTTTCTCTGCTCTAATCACTTGTTTGAGAATTGATTTGACATCTCTTATTTATGAGCTGCTGATCTTTGACAGGCACTGAATCTGGTAATGGTGTTTACTGACCAAGTGGTAATTACACTTGGATGCTTTTGTTTGCTGAATCTTTTGTGGTACGCCTGAAATTTCTTTGCATTGCATTGAAATTCTTAGTGGAGATTCTTGACAGAACTTGTACTGACAGAGAAGTGCTTCCAGGTGACTTGCTAGCTTTGATCAATCTTTCTCTGTTAATGAAAGCTTTTGTTACTTGTTTTTGAAGTAACTTTGCCTAGAGTCATGATTCATGACATAAGCCAGTGTTGCACTGTCCCCATGGGGAAGGAATGTAGGGTAGTTTCGGGGTCCTACAAATAGGAAAGACCTTGTAACTGTAAAACATTGGGCTTCTCAGTGTAGCTTGTAGACTGAATTCAGCTTTGCTTTTGCAAGATTCACCATGAAACCGGCCAGTGGGACTGATGTCAGGTTCTGAGAACCCGTAACCACATTGAATCTGTGCAGTCTTTGTCAGTATTGGTCCTCCAGATATGTGCTTGATGGTCATGGTGTACTGTTCAGAGCCTTGTGTGTATGTTGGTGTCATCCTTGGCCATAGGTAACAGGGCAGAGTGCGCATCAACTGATCTTTGTGTTGTTCAGAGGCTGCAGCTTCCACCCTTCATTCCTGCCTGGCACACCGTT